GCAAAATGGAGTCTGGAGTCACATGGGCCAGTCTCTGCATACTTTGCTGAGTTACAAACCGTATTTGCCTTCTCTCAATGAGTCCATTGTATAGCTGATGGTCCTTAATGGGCCATCAAGCAGGCTAGGCAGAGCTAACACCAACTTGTCTGGGATGTCACCCAGAAGCATAGCATAAGTTTGCCATACAGACAGTACAGAGCCAATATTCATAACTTCAACTACAAAATTGATACACACATATAGACAGAATAATCATAACCAGCCAACCATAACCTTGTCTTAGACATCTCATTTGTCCCCCTTTATACACGATTTGGTGCCACTACAGGACTTTGGTTGCTTCTATATGGTCCCGGTTCAAATCAATAACGTGACACTGATCCACAAACATCTGCCATCCCCTTCCAGACAGGATCACAGCCCATTAATCTGGGGAGCTGCTGAGAGCGTGGGGCATGGACCTCCATGGCCAGCCTGTCGCCAGCTAGGGCTGGCGTTTAAAGAGGCAGCGTCTGCCTAGTGAAGCCCCCTGCCCTGCTCCTCAGCCCCTCTACCTTGAGCCCCTGCGAGAGATTGTCTCCCCCCGTCCCCAAACCATACCTGGTGCTCCTCTCGCAGGGCAGGGCTGATGGGTGGGTGCTGAGGTAGCTGGGAGTGGGGGTGATGAGATGGCAGGGCGGTGGGTGGAGGCGTGACAGGTGTTTGCCAGGAGTCAGTGAGGGTGGGGGTAGTCCAGTGCAGCGAGAAGCCAGGGGCACTGCGGGAAGTGGCCGGTGGATCAGGAATGTCCCAACCCGCTCCCCTGATTTAATCTCTGTCTGCTCTAGTGTGCCTGGGCTGAGCGGCCCCATGGCCCCGTACCGCATCCGGCAGTACGAGGACGGTGACTACGAGGCCGTGTGCACCATGTTCGGCCATGGGGTTATGGAGCACACTCCTGCTGCGTTCATCTACATGCTGAAGTGTCCCCAGACCCAGCTGCACTTCCTGGGCCTGTTCCTGGTGGTGCTCGCGGCCTCCGGGTCCCTCCTGGTCTCCCTTCTGGCTCTCCTGCTCGCTCTCACTGGGGCCTGGTTTTGCATCTGGTCTCTCTGGACCGATTACATCCAGCAGTCTCTTCACAACAACCTACTGGACATCCGGAGAACCTACCTGGAGGCAGCAGACTCTTGTCTCTGGGTGGCAGGGGCTGAGGGGGCGGTGGTGGGTGCGGTGGGGGCTGTCCTGCCGGAGTTCCCCTCAGAAAGGGGGCACGCCCTGGAACTAAAGCGTATGTCCGTGGAGAGGTATTAGGGGGCTTATTCCTTCACCCTCTCACTTTCCTGGTCCTGCTTGCATGAACAGAGAGCAACAATACACGAAGTCCGAAGATGCAAACAATTCAATGTTTATAGGGATGAACTTCCAGCAAGCAAGTTGATTCCAGTTTCCTTCCTCAGCTCTGACACCACAGAGCCTTGCCTGTGTCCCTGTTCCCATCCCCTGTTCCCATTCCCCCCACCTTACTTCCTGATTGACTGCAGACTATATAGTAAAACTTGAGTTCTGTTTAGCTATACCTTAACCAATCATTTTCCTGAAATGTAACTAACCAATCCTAACATACTGTAACATGGTTATTTAACCAATTATATCCCACCACCTTAATTGGTTTACACCCAACAAAATTAATTATACAGCAGACAGAAACAATCCCAGAACCAGACAGAGATTATACAGACAAACAATAGGGAAGTGAAGACTACAGTGATAGAACAATACAGAAATGAGGATTTGACATCCCAGCTATTGATAAGTGAGTTCTTGCCAGACAGGATCCAATCAAACTAAGTTTCCTTTTACATCTTCTAGGCTCTTCCCTTTCTCTGGAGGTGACAGGAATATCAGGACAGGATTGTATTCCTAACAGCCCAATAGCACCTTATTTCCATGTGACTGGTTT